TTCTAGACACATGCTTTCCACCCACATGCTTTACAATGATGCAACAATCTGAAAAGTATGCAAGACAATCAAGAAGAAATGATAAAACCTGACTTAACAGAGACTTGAATAAAAATATTTGCTATGGTTTGAATGATAGTGTTCCCTCCAAAATTCAAACTTCATTCCCATTGTGGAGGTATGAGGAGGTAAGGTCTTTTGAGAAGTGATTAAGTCATAAGGGTTCTACCCTCAAATGGATTAGGGCTTTATAAAAGAGGCTTTCAGGAGTGGATGCGTCTCTCGCTCTTCTCCCTTCTGCACAAAAGGACATAGTGTTCATGCCCCATGAAAGATGTAACAAGCCACAATTTTTTTTTAAATAATTTTTTTAGTTTTAGATAAATAAATATTTATTGTGATGCTGAGGATCGAACCCAGTACCTCACGCATGTTAGGCAATAGCTCTACCACTGAGCCACAATCCCAGCCCCAACAAGGCACCATCTTGAAAGCGAAGAACAGACCCTCACTAGACAATGAACCCCAAAGTTCTTGATATTGGGCTTCCAGCCTCCCGGACTGTGAGAAATCAATTTCTGTTCTTTACAAATTTCTTAATCTCAAGTATTTTGTTACAAAAGCACAAACTAAAGTAATATTAACTACCAAAATTAAGTTATGATTCAATGCAGACCTAATAAGTGCCAAAAAAATGCAAAGGGAGTTTTTGAGAACTTCGCCTATTCTAAGATTCATATGAAAAAGTCAGCATGCAAAAATAGGCAATGTAATTCTGAAAAGGAACCAAAAGGACCAGAGCTCCTACCAGGAATCAAGATATATTATAAAATGCAAGTCTTTAAAATAGGGATAATACAAATAATATATTGATGGAACAGAATAGAGATACCAGAAATGAATCCACTTATATTTGGATGTTTCTATTATAGGTGGTCTTTCAAATCAGTGGAGAAAGGATGAGGCTTTTGCTAAAAACAATTTTTAAATGTAAAACTCATTCTTAGTTGCAGGCTAAACAAAAATAGACAGTGGGCCAGATTTGGCCATGAGACATAGTTTGCCAATTCTCACCCTATTCCATTCTTGGTATCTGCCCTAAAGAAACACTTGCACATATGTACAAGGAAGCTTGAATTAGAAACTTCAAGGCTGCATTTGCAAAAGGACAAAATTAGAAGCAACCTAAATTTTCAATACAAGAATGGCCAAATTGTGATATATCCCAACCAGGCCTAATTATGCATATGTACACACTTACAGAACCTTCTTCATAATTTTATCATTGATGATGAAAATAAGTTTTAGAATACTTATTTCTCAAACCACATATAGCATGCATGCACAGCAGCAAAGGTCTGGAAGGCTGTAACAACTCATAACCATGGTTATTTGTAGGGGGAGGAAAGTGAGTGGGGTATGTTTATTGGGAGATGAATAAGAGGACTGAAGGTTTTTCTTTACATTTTTAAAGAGCTCGGTTATGAATAACTACAAAAGCTAAAAAGAAGAAAAAGGAAATCTAGAAATCTTTCCACTAAATGACGTTAGACCCTGGCCACCTCCCCTGAGCATAGTTCAGGCATGTGGGTGGGAAATTGAAAGACTGATGACCAATCTCACCCAAGTCATGGCTGCTCATGGCCCTGCGGGCCTTCCTCTTCAAGCAACATTGAGGTCACTTGGGATTACTATACAAGCCAAGGATATGGCAATAAAGGCCCAAGCTATATCCTGTTCAACCAAAACACAACACAACACAACAACAACAAAACAGCTTAAGAGAAGGCCTGCCTTTTAAACAACCTGGATATTTAACACATTTAGACTGAGAAACAGGTAAAACACTCTAAAATTATTCACCAAGTCATAACAGAATTCTGGGGATATCTAGTTAAACATAGAAGATTCAGCATCTTGTTCCTTTCACAAACCCTATTAAAATCAGAGTAAACACTTGAAAAATGTATATAACCCCAAATAAGAAATGGAAGAAAAAAAAGCAGGTTAGCCAAATCAACCTATTTTTATAAGCTAGAGAAGATGGAGGAATTAGCAGATCTGACATAACTGAACACTAGATGCCAAAGACAAGACATTCACACACCAGAATACCATAAAACCCAAACAAAAAGGCAGGATGTGCCACAGAAGGCGAGAGTAATCCCTGCAAGAAAATAGGTAAAAGCTTAAGTCGTGAGCACTTAGACCTCCAGGTTTCCCTCCTCCTCCTCCTCCACAACCATTGCGACAAGTATTTTCCCTGGATAAATTGCATCAGAAGGACTCTAAGAACAACAGGCACAGTGTAATTTCAGAATGCCACAGATATTTGCATTCAAGCTTCTAGTATGAAAAAGAAATTGCACACAAAGAAACAAGAAACAAAATGGCATTTTTAAGAGTCAAGTCCAAAGCTGACGACAGTATCTTCACAGTTTTCAAGATAAATAGCTCTTTAATCAGAAATCCAATGCCCAATCAATGAAGTGTGAGGGCAAAATAAGACAAACTTGGAAATGAAAGTTCTCAAAACATTTATCTCCTAAAGATCCTTTTCTAAGAAAACTACAAAAGGATGTGCTCCATCAAATGAAGGGTTAGGGAGTCAAGATGACACAGGACACAAATGGATTTAGTATAGGAGAAAGAAGGGAAATTCAGGAAAATATCAGAATAGCAAGTCTAAAGTGAAATGATCCAGGTGGCAAAGAAGGAGGGGAGAGTTTCAAGAGATTTTTCTAGGAAACAAAGATTGCCAAATACATCTGACCAGGTAGAAATTATTATGTGAGGGATTTTTTTGCTTCTATCAGTCTGTAAAGAAGTGGGACAGTCAACAAGTCTAACAAAAAAATGTAAAGCATTCTTAAGTGGGAGAAAGGATTGTACAAGAAAGGCAAATACCTGTATTAAATGATTTGGCACTGAACCACACTTATTATGGCAATGACTTAAACACTTAGAGCTGAATTAACCAAAATGAGTTATAGTAGAAGAAATAGGGATATAAGATGCTAAAAGCTTGTGTAGAAGGCTTTGTATTTGTAAATCATAAATGAGGAGATAATGGGAGAAGTGTTGACTTTCAAAAGATAGAAGTCAATACCAGAAACAACCAAGAATTAAACATTTCCATTGCTGGGAAAAGGACACAGGAATGATAGGAACACAATAAAGGCTTGTGTAATTTGGGCGTAACATCTTGCTCAAGGGTGAACCAAGGATACAATGGTGGCCTTGTAAGATTCTATCACGCAGCGCCATTGTGGCCGCCTTAGTTTGTGTAAGCACATGTATGAAGTTCCAACAACTACAGAATCACTTGATGAATTTCTCTGACTGTATCATGACTCTACTTTTGTAACACTTAAACCTTCTGAGTTTCAGTTCATATGGTAAAGGAGGAATAATGGTAACACTGTTTTACCTAGAGGACTTTCATCAAAAAAAATCACATGAAATAACATGACCAAATACTTGGGCCAATTTCTCAAATTGGTCATTCCACAAGCAGGTTACATGGAACCACAATTAAATCCCATGTTATCTGAAATTGAAAAGCAGGAATGCAGTTAGTCCTAAGATGCCTAAGCAACCAAGACTTTCAAAACATGCATGTGCTCTAAGTGGGAGGGTTTATCAAGGGAGGCTTCCAGCTCTTTGAACTCCAGGAAGCTCAGAAATTACTTACCTCCCCAGTCTCCAGCTTCCTTATCTGTAAAATTGGGAATAGTCACACCTACCCTGAAGGGTCACTGGAATGTTTGAGTAAAACATGTGAAAGATGTGTCTTTCTGACAGTATCTGGTCTAGTCTCTGGCCAATGATAGCAACTTCAACAACCCTATGTTAGCTTGCTCCTGAGAATGACAACTCTACCCTTCAACTTCTAATATAAATCAAGATTTAAGGGTTAATCGGGCAAATCCTTCAAAGATGAGTCCACCCCGCTTGGCTCTGTCTCAGTAACCTTTGATTAGACACAATATGGTGAAAAATATAAACACACACACACACACACACACATATTGTAAATAGTCCCACCAGTAAGAGTTAAGCACCATTAACCTTTCAGTGCCCAACTTTCATGCACTTACCACATTTGTGTTTTTAAATAAGTTTTTACTGGGCTTTATACTTCATTTTCACTTAATATGTCAAGAACATGTGTCTTCACAATAACATTTCCCCAGCACTCTTTTTTTAATCTGTTCAAGACTTTATTATCCAATATTCCAATCAAAACTATAAAGAGAATTAGAAAGATTAATAGTGAGTAGTAACTCTTGCACTTAAAACCTTGATTGCACTACAGACAAGAGAGGACAGCATCACTTTCAATAATTGCATAGCCATCTTGATAAAGGTCCTGCACTTTTTATTCTGTATTCTTTCCTATCACCCTCAGGGGACAATCAATGGTTATTCCAGCTTTTACTCCAACCTGCTGAGTAAACTACAGGGTCAACACCAGGGAAAGAGCGAGCTCCAACTTAAATTGCTTTTCAATACATGTTGGTAGTCACAAGCACATTGATACCAACCAGCTGATCTCGAACAAGACCAGCAAGCAGCTGCTGGATATGCTTTTTTAAGCAGTTTATTTCTAGGTCTTGGGAGGAACGTGAGACACTTTGAAAGAATTATTTTAGGAGTCCTGCACATCTCTGCCTTTTTAGAGCTTTAAAAAACTAACACATACTTACATGCTGTATACACATATATTCTCAGCATATATATATATATATATATATATGCACATATATAAATACATGTTGTAAAAATATATTGCACCAAGTATGTGCATATTATTTTGGGAAGCAGCAAAGGGGCTGTTTTCCACCTTCCCTCAACAAACAAGAACACTGGCAACTCAAGCTCAGTAACATCTAGTGGGTAATTTGGATTTTCCTGGGAAGAAAAAGACCACATTTGGAAACATACATCCAACCCTTCAACATGTATACTAAAATAATTTTTCTTTTTCTTAAGTTCATTTGTGGAAAGCTGTACCAACTGGTTAGAGTAACCATCATTCATCTGCTATAGAAGAAACCAGGGATTCTTAGATCAAGAATCTAATTCCAGAAACCACCTAAAAAAGCCATTTTCAACCTTTATCATTCAAGCCATAGATCTCACCTTTGGCTTGATAATCTTTTCTGAGATTACAATTTCCAAGGTGAGTGTGCGTGCTATGCCTTTAGC